TCATTTTGGATCCACAAACCGGGCCCACTTTCTGGTTCTGAACCAGCGAAACTGAAGATTACTCAGGATGGAGAGGAGTCACTGGTCCAGTTCCGCTTGGTTCTGGTTCTGGTTCTGACCCGGGGCCTCGTCCCAAGGCCCAACCCCATCCATTCCTGGTCCAGCCCCTCTGGGTTCTGGTTCTGGTTCTGACCCGGGGCCTCCACCAGGACCTATCCTGATAAAGTGACCCAACCAGAACCAGAACCTTTGAACATATGAGGCTCATCCTGAATTTGACACTTGTATTTCTTCTTTTACGTCCTCTGACAAACGAGTCAGAGGTTTTTATCTGCTCATGGACACGTCCTGAACCAACATGGAGGCTCTGAAACTGAAAGGCAGCTCAAAACCAGATGGACCTGTGGGTTCGGAGGTCCAGTTCTGTGGAAAAGGGTCAAATATGATCATTCAAAAGCTTTAACAGGAACCAGGGACCAGTCGGAGCCCCTGAACGAGTCGGCTTCGGTTTTCCATCACACAGTAAAGCTGCTGAGGTCATGTGACCCCTGTCTGTCATGTGATCACCTGAAAAGGCCGATTTGGTCTCAGCTGGTCGTCAGATTTTGTTTTAACCTGAAATGAGTAAACTGAAGCCGCTCTCTGACCAGCGAAGGCCAGGTGACCTCCAGCTGCCACAGTTATGTAACCGGTCAGTGGACCTGACAGCTGGACCAGGACCAGCATCATCTGTTCGCTCTGAGTTTATGTCATTTCTTAAGCTCCTCACAGCAAAAATCCACCGATTACTCCTTCCAGGAAGATTCGGGGTTTAAAATCAGAGGATGACCATCCAGATGGGGATTTTTTCTGTGTTCAGTCAGGAGGTTTTTGATGGTTCGGATCAGAATCTGGAACAGAATTGATCATAATAATGGGAGTAAATCTATTTGTTTAGCAGTGAACGGTGACGTCAGCCAGTCAAACAATGGCTGGAAAATCGGTCAATGACAAAACACCTGAAAAACAGAAACAGAGCGGTGGGCGCGCGCATGCGCAACGCGCGCGGCGGAGCTCCATTCAGAGAAAATGCGCGTGGGTGTCGCACAGCTTGTGCACAGCGGCATCGCTGCGGCGGAATCCCGTGACGTCAGGCCGCGCGTTGCCATGGTTACGCCGCTGACGGAGCGGTGACGCAGCGCCCGGTATAAAATCCCCGCGCAGCCTCGCGCAGATCCAGTCTCTGAGAGCTGAGTCGTGCGCGTGCAGCTGTTTGGAAACGAAGTGGGACCTGTGCGGAGTCGCGTGTGTTTTTTTCTGCTCTTTGATCCGGATCGTTCGCTTGGAAATGGCTGTAACGGAGGCTGGATGCGACCTGACCTACTGCAAGATGAGGGGCATCGTGGGCGTCCTGACCGGTGAGTGCGCGCCTGCCTGTCCCCGGTCCTCTGATCACCGCACGAGCCCCGAGTCACCGTTTTTTAGATTAAATGCTCGGTGTCGTCACGTTTAATTAGTTTATTTATTTAGTCAGTTGTATTTGCTCGTGTTTCAAATCCTAATTGGAAACGCTAAATCGAGCCCCGCGCGCGCTGAGGGGATGTGAATGGAAAATGTTCCGCTGGTATGAATGGTGACGGGTTGCGTAACCTGTAAACCCGCAGCGCGCGCTGCGCTGGGGGACCTTTAGGAGCGGATTACAGCAGGTTTCTCCTCTAAAGAAGCTCCCTCTGTCCGCAGCTTTCATCAAGGAGAGGAAGATGGGGCTGAACGACTTCATCCAGAGGCTGGTGTCCACCCCACACATCTGCCAACAGTGAGTACAGCACACATCAGCCCATTCATAACTGACCACCTGGGGCTGGCTGGACTTTGGCCTAATCTGCCCTCAGGAGGGTAAGAATAGTCCTGCCCGCCGGCCGCTGGCTCCTAATCGCCTCCAGGCCAATCCCGTGTGTCCCCTGTTCCGGGATAAGGCTCTAAATCCATTATTACCTGATGGGCTGAGCCCCGGCCGGGCGGCCAGACCGTTCAGGTGTTTCCAGGAAGGGAGGCTCAGCCCACCTGAGGGCTCAGAGGCTTAAGGCTCCCAGACGGTCAGCAGTCATCCTGTCCCAGACGGTCAGCCTGCCCTCAGAGGGCGTCCCGTTCCCTCAGACTGTCAGGACAAGCTCAGGACTCAGCAGGAGAGCTGGCAAATACAGGACTTTATCAAACAAGGTCGCCCTCACAGGGAGGGAAATGAAAATAACAACCTCTGTTACGAGCAATAACCAGGAGAAAAAAGTAGAAAGAAATGATCACTCAGAAAAGATCACTCAGATGAGCACAGAAAGGCTAAGAAAGTACAAAATAATCACTCTAATCCAGGATGAAAACTCAGCTCAGTGTCAAAGGTCGACTGGACGAAAACCACTTGACCCAGACAAAGGGGCACAGACTACTTTTTAACAATCAGACAAGTGACCTGAAACGAAAGGAGAGTTACTTATCGAAACAAAACAGGAAATGACCAGACCAAGACATGACAAAAAAACAAAAAAAAAATCAGGTCTGACACTGCAGAGCTGGCAAATAGGAGGACTTTATTAAACAAGGTCGACCTCACAGGGAACTGGCAATGAAAATAATAATCTCTCTTAAGAGGAAAGTACAAAGAAAAGACCACTCAGATGAGGATAGAAAGGCTAAAAAAGTATCAAACAATAATCACTCTAAGCGAAGACGGGAAAAAAGCTGAAAAAGTATAAAATAATACTCACTCTTACGAGGAAAATGTGGAGACTCAAGACGACGAATTCAATGGCAGGTTAAGCTCAGTGTCAAAGGTCAATAGGAAACCCACTGGACCCAGACAAGGATCAGACAGATGACCTGAGATGAGAGGAGAGTTACTTATCAAAATCAAACAGGAAATTACCAGACAACCATAGGGGCAGGACAAAAAAAACAAACAAACCACCTGAAAGCCTTTTCTTGCAGCACCACCGGTCATTGTGATCTTCAGAACAGTTGATTTTAGAAGTCTTAAGGTCAAGGTATAAACGGTGGAGTGACCAGACCCCGAGAATATGGAAGAAGTTGCCCCCGGATACTGGCACTGTTACAGATATCTTTATTTTTGGTCCAGGCTAGAGTGGCAACTTCATTCTTTTGTAACCCTTTTTGATATGACTATTTTCTATCTTCACTCTTTCTGTTGTATGTTGTGATTTTACTCATTTTGTTGTTTGATTCTGCTTCTTTCAGCGTCGAGGTCAACAACTTCCTAAAGATCGAGGACAACCAGAACGAGGAAGTGGACGATCAGATTCTTGCAAATCCAGTAAGTTGATGCTGAACGCTTCCTTCACTGACTCACCGTCCGCGGGAAACTTGGCAGAGAGTTAAAAAGTTTCCCCTCTTTCTCTTTCAGATGTTCCTGAACCCGCGGAGCTCCCTGGCAGAGGAGACCCAGTAAGTCCAGTTAGTTCCCAGCTTCAGATTAAGTTAGTTTCCAGGTTCAGATTCAGATAGTTTCCAGGTTCAGATTCAGATAGTTTCCAGGTTCAGATTCAGTTAGTTTCCAGGTTCAGATTCAGCTAGTTTCCAGGTTCAGATTCAGCTAGTTTCCAGGTTCAGATTCAGTTATTTTCCAAGTTTAGATTCAGTTAGTTCCAGCTCAAACGTGACCTAAAAATCTGATTCTTTGTGTTTCTTAGAATCAAACCTTGTGACTTTGACTACCTGAAAATCATCGGAAAAGGCAGCTTTGGGAAGGTGAGTGTCTCTCTGTGGGGGTGCACCGACCCCCCCTCCTGTTGCCCCCCCCCCTCTCTGACACTAACCTGTGCTCACCTGCAGGTTTTGCTGGCTCGGCACAAAGAGACCACAAAGTACTACGCCGTCAAAGTGCTGCAGAAGAAGATCATCCTGAAGAAGAAGGAGGTAAGAACTGGTTGGTTTGGCCCTCTGAGCCGAGCCGAGTCAGAGACTAACGGACCCTTTACCCCCCCCCCCCTCTCCTCACCCCCCCCCCCACAGCAAAAGCACATCATGGCTGAGCGCAGCGTGCTGATGAAGAACATCCAGCACCCCTTCCTTGTGGGGCTGCACTTCTCCTTCCAGACCACCGACAAGCTGTACTTTGTGCTGGACTACGTCAACGGGGGAGAGGTGAGCCTCCACATCTGGGCCTCAGCAGGCCTCACATCTGGGCCCAGCAGACTTCACTTTTGGGCCTCGCATCTGGGCCCAGAGAGCTGCACATCTGGGCCAATCTGGCTAAAAATCTGGGCCCAGCAGGGCTCACATGTGGGCCTCAGCAGGCCTCACATCTTGGTCCAGAGGGCTTCATATCTGGGCCAATCAGGCTGCACATCTGGGCCCATCAGGCAAAAAATCTGGGCTTCAGCAGGCCTCACATCTGGGTCCAGAGGGCAGCACACCTTGGCCTCACATCTGGGCAAATCAGTCTGCACATCTGGGCCCATCAGGCTAAAAATCTGGGCTTCAGCAGGCCTCACATCTGGGCCCAGCAGACTTCACTTTTGGGCCTCACATCTGGGCCCATCAGGCTAAAAAATCTGGGCCCATTAGGCTAAATATCTGGGCCCAGCAGGCCTTACATCTGGGTCGAGAGGGCCGCACATCTGGGCTTCATATCTAGTCCCATCAGGCTGGCCAGATGCTGACAGATGTTTGTGCCCCTGCAGCTGTTCTACCACCTCCAGAGGGAGCGGGTCTTCCTGGAGCCCCGGGCCCGGTTCTACGCCTCTGAGATCGCCAGCGCCCTGGGCTACCTGCACTCCCTGCACATCGTGTACAGGTGAGCCGAGCGCCGCTCTGCCGCCCCCTGCTGAACAGACGGCGTGTTGCACCCCCCCCTGCTGGACAGATGGGGAATAATCTCTCCTCTCTCTGCTTCCTCCTCAGAGACCTGAAGCCTGAGAACATCCTGCTGGACTCACAAGGCCACATCGTCCTGACTGACTTTGGGCTCTGCAAAGAGGGTCTGGAGCCCAATGGCACCACCACCACCTTCTGCGGGACTCCTGAGGTAAACCCCCTCCCACTACTCAGTGCCCCCACCGCCCCCCTCAATGCCCCCCCCGCCCTGACGCCTCTTTGTCTCTGCAGTATTTGGCTCCGGAGGTTCTGCAGAAGCAGGCGTACGACCGCACCGTGGACTGGTGGTGTCTGGGCTCCGTGCTGTACGAGATGCTCTACGGACTGGTGAGACTTTACTGCTATTACATAATTTATTATCCCCATATTTAATAACGACTTTATTCTCTCAAGTAATTTAAAAAAATTAAAAATGTGGCTCCAATACTCTGTTGTAAAACTGAAGAAAAAGAAAGAAAAACTAAACTATACAAATATAACTGTGAATATAAATGCTGTGAAAAAAATGGTTTTAGTGTAATACCATAATTTATTCTCGCCATATTTTATAAGAACTTTATTCTCTTAATTAATTTTTTTAAATAAAAAATGTGGCTCTAATACTCTGTTGTAAAACTGACTATTAATATGATACATATAAAAGACTCTAAAGACTAAGACTAAACTATAAATATAAAAATGCTGAGAAAATAATGGTTTTAGTGTAATAAGATAATTTATTCTCGCCATATTTAATGTGTAATTTAATGTTTAATATGTGATATGATGCGAATAAATGACTGTAAAGACTAAAGATTAAACTCTAAATATAAAAGAGCTGATAAAAAGTGTTTTTAGTGCAATAAGACGTCTGGAGTTGGGATCTGAATATAAATCTGAAGCTCTGTCTCCAACAGCCGCCGTTCTACAGCCGAAACACGGCCGAGATGTACAGCAACATCCTGCACAAGGCGCCCGTCCTGAAGCCCAACGTGTCCAACTCCGGCCGCGAGCTGCTGGAGGGGCTCCTGCACAAGGACCGCACCCAACGGCTGGGGGCCAAGGACGACTTTGTAAGTCCATTCAGCTCCTCTGGTTCCGACCCGCTGGGCCGGTTCTGGTTCTGTCCACTCACCTGGTTTTTCCCCCACAGATGGAGCTGAAGCACCACTCCTTCTTCTCCCCCATCAACTGGGACGACCTGATGGCCAAGAAAATCACCCCCCCCTTCATCCCCTCAGTGGTACGTCCCGTTGAGGGTTCTGAGTCCAAAACACCCCAAATGTTTGGGGATGAATGAATGGAACAGAGCTCATTTAGTGGAAATCAGAGCTGGTTCTGGAGGAAAAAAGCAGGAATTCAATGTTTAAATTCCAGATATTTTGAGTTATTTTGATTTTTTTTAGTAATTCATCTGATTCCCACATTAGTTTGTGGGATTATTTCAGCTTCTTGTGTAAAAACTGACGTCTTTCTATCATTTTAGTGTAAAATCAGCTCCTTTTTTTAAGAGGATTCTTCATCAAACTGAGCCTCATTTTGTCCTCTCAGGTTAAACTGAGTTTGTTTTTGCTGTTAAATCCACCTGTTTCCAGCTCCTGAACACATGTTTCCACCTCTGTCTGTGATATCTGATGGAATATGGGGGCCCTGTGTGCTCACGTATGCTCTTTCTCTCCAGTCTGGGCCCACAGACCTCCGGCACTTCGACCCAGAGTTCACCCACATGCCGGTGTCCTCCTCCCTGTGCAGCGACATGCCGGCCGTGACCAGCAGCATCAGGGAGGCGGCCGGCGCCTTCCCGGGCTTCTCCTACGGGCCGCCGGACGGCCACGCCTTCATGTGAGCCCCCCCACCCCTGTCCCGGGAACAAGGGGGCCACTCTGGACCGGCTCTAGGGGACAGAAGAAGGAGCCAAGAGCATCACGGACCCCCCACAAAGAGGCAGAGCAGGGTCCAAAAGCTGTGCAGTGCCTGGAGGGGGGGACTGACTCATTACACTGGCCTCCGGGGGGGGACTGACCCATTACACTGGCCTCCAGGGGGGTGCTGACCCACAGACTACTGGCCTCCAGGGGGGGCGCTGACCGGGGAAGCCTTGGCTCACTGTCTGTGGCTCCTTTTGTTTTGCACTGGAGGAAACAAGGGTGGAGGGGACGTCTTCAGCAGCTCGATTGTGGGGGGAGGGGGGGGGTCATATCTGAGATCCAGCTCTACTTTGGACCAAACAGTTTGCTTTAGCATGAGTCCTTTTCCACCCGTTTGTCCTCCTGAACTGAACCCTTTACTGTACTGTAGAACCCCCCAAACATCCAGCGTTTACATCCTGCTCCACATAGAAGCTCCACACCTCCTCTGTACATAGGAGCTAGTTTAGCAGAACTATACGGATAGTAAATATTCTATTTTTGGTTGGAAATCTCCAACCAGTGACGGTTGAGGATATTACCTGCTGTGATGAAGGACTCAACCAGCAATAACGTGCACACTGTAAAGCGTTTCTATCTTATTTAAGGAGGCGCCTGCTGTTTTATGGCAGCCCTCGTTAAGGCGGCAGGTGTCTCTGTGTCCATGTAGGCCAGAACTGTGACTGTCTTGTGCCTGATCCGCGTTAGCTATACATACATATCTGTCCCGAAACCTTTGCTCCCTTTTCTGGAAGTGAATCTAAAAGTGCTTTGACGTGTGGGAGGAGCCGTGGGCGGAGCCCTCGGTTCTGGAAAGTGCAATAAGTTCTGAAAGCCGAATATCTTTTTGTGACTGATGTAAGTCGTCGTTTCTGCTTGTTCGTGGCTGTTTTCCGTTGTTCCGACTGGAAACAAATTGAATCCTGCTGAAAATGGAAAAACCAACAAGGCAACACACAGTTCTTGATCATGTTCTTCCACATTTGGAAGTTGTGTTTCTATTTTTATTTATTTTCATTCCATCCTGTAAACTAAATCATTTCCATGATCAGCTGAAACACTGAACTGTAATCTGTGTCAGAAATGGCAAATAAATCTCTATATCAAAGTATTTTTTTCTTAACTCTGTGGATTAAACGTTCACGTAATGATTACACAACGCGCTCCTGATCCAGAACTCCTGATCAGCCTCGTTTCTTTAACCGCCAAAGTATTTTTGAGCAACATGCTGGTCAGTCATTCAACAGGAAAGCTTTTGTTTAAGCCACTTAACTCTGAGCTCTTAACCTCTCAGGCCGAAAAACGCCCCTAACTCAAGGCCTGAGCCAGCGTTGTGTCCAAAGTTAAAAGTGGATCTTTAGGCTCTTTGTCAGCAGCAGAGACAGATCATTTTTTCCATTTCTGTATCTGATGGAGGAAAAAGGCCAAAGAAAACACAGTCTGACAGACAGGAAATAGGATTTCTGAGGATTCCCAAAGAGCTGCTGGCTGAAAACTGGGCAGGTCTCAGCTGGTGAACAGAGAGTCCTGAAAACATCTGAAGAAACTGGACCAGTGGAGGACAGAAGAAGAAGAGCTGGTCCTAAAAAACTCTCTAATCCGGCAGATGAAGAGGATCTGAAAGGTAAAGAGGAACAGATCCAGCAGAGAGCTGAACAGGAGCTGAGAGCTGCATCTGGACCTCCAGCTGATCGTCTCCTGGTTCTGATCAGATTTGAATAGATAGGAAACTATAATTAACTATTATCATAATAAATAAATAAATATAATAATGGCAAAGAGCCATTCTAAAGGAAGCAAGCAGGGAGAAAAAGGCTGAGCTCTGCCAGAGGAGCCAGAATTGGACTGAAAAGCAGTGACAACTGGACTTTTTTTCAGTTTTAAACACGTCGTCTGTCCGTAAAAGGGGTTAAAACAAGTACAGCTACATTTAAACCCCTTAATTTGCTACCACGACGGCGTGTTTCCGCTCACCTGTCGCTTCCCATCGCGCCAACAGCCTCCATGAATCAGTCTCCGCGCATGCGCAGAAGAGCCCCGCAAACCCCACTTCCTGCCAAATAGTGGTCCCTAACAACAGACAAAGCGTGAGGCCGTGGATTCCTGAGCAGTCGCTGAACAACGGCTCCCTCCTTCAATGGTAAGGCCGCTCCGGGCGATGGGGGGTCCGGGGGGGCTTCACTCCGAGGCCCGCGGAACCCGGCCAGGATCCGGGATGTAGCCGTGCTCAAGGGCTGCTTCTCCGGTGGCAGCCGGCCCCGACTAATCTCTGGAGTGGAAAACTTTATTGCCCCGGCCAAAACTAAATGTGCTTTGGTTTCAGTCGGCAGCCCCCAAATAGAGCCAAACAAACGCCAGATTAACAGTAGATTACATTAATAACTGTTTAATTAAGGGTTATAACCCGGTGGGGGCAGAAATCAGCCCGCTATTGCTAACTGGCTGCTAGCTTCTCGCCTTTGGGTGCCGACTACTTCCTGGTGCCCGGTCTGCATTGTGTGTGGTGGTTGTGTAACCACAGCTCACTGGTCCACTTTTACCCGGTTGTGTGGAGTTTGTGGTGGAGCTCGGTTCCCCAGTTTGGGGTGAAGATGGGAGGTTTTGGGCGCCACCCCCGTGGCCTGGCCTCAACTTCCGGGCGGGGTTTATTTACTGGAAGCAGCGGCCGGAGGACGTCTTGTTAACGGGATGTTTTCCTCCCAGTTGTCCCAAACTGCCCCCCCACACACATACAGTTTGCAGGACAGGGCAGTGACCTGAGCCCCTGTCAGCACGACCAATTCTGTCATTTTGTGCTTTATAAATAAAGCTAAACCCATGTGGGACAGGTGCTCCATCGGAGGACAACAGCCTCACATCAGGACTGTCAGATGGACTAAGGGAGTTTACAGAAACACGCCTTTTACTGGCTGAGATGAGCTTTATTCAGTCACATTTAGCAGCCAAACGCATGTTGGTGCAGAAAGTGGGCAAACGGGGGCAGATTTTTTGACTTTTGGGGTTAATTTGGGCATGACTGTTGGATATCCGTTGCCAAAACCACAGTTTGATAAACACGCTGAGCGTGAATGCATCTGAGACATCAGCCAACGTAAAAGCAGCCGGTGCCAACACAAAGAACGCACAAAAAACATCAAATATTACCACCAGAATTTAGCAATGTGTTCATACAATTTAGAGTAAAGACAAGAATGAACTAAGATTAGATTAAATATGAACCTGAACTAGACTCAAAACTGGGAGTTCTCTCCTCTCTGGTTCTGATCAGAAGCTCACAGGTAGATAGAAAAACCACTGACTTCCCTGTAAAAGATGCCTCATTCTGGAGGAAAAAAGCTGACATTCAAAGTTAAAATTTCAGATATTCAGATTTATTTTAGTGATTTAACGGATTCCCACATTCATTAGTGGGATTTTTTCAGCTTCTTGTGTCAAAACTGACGTCTTTCCATAAATTTAGTGTAAAATCAGCACCTATTTTCAGAGGATTCTTCATCAAACTGAGCAGTGAGACACTTTAAGCCTCACTTTGTCCTCTCAGGTTAAACTGAGTCTGTTTTTGCTCTGAAATAAACCTTTTTCCAGCTCCTGAACTCACTTTTCTACTTCTGTCTGTAACACCTGCTGGAACAGAGCTCATTTAGTGGAAATTAGAGCTGGTTCTGGATGCAGAATGCAGAAAGTCAAAGATAAAAGTTGAGAAATTCAGATTTCTCTTAGTAATTTATCTGATTCCCAAATGAGTTAGTGGGATTATTTCAGCTTTTTGTGTAAAAACAGACGTCTTTCCACCATTTTAGTGTAAAATCAGCTCCTAATTTCAGAGGATTCTTCATCAAACTGAGCAGTGAGACATGATGAAGCCTCATTCTGGATGAAAACCAGCAGAACTCTGAGTTCTTTGGCCTCTAGTTTGGATTAAAACTGTCCGATTTGTCATCTGTGCCCCCGTTTTTGATGGGAATGCTTTTTTGGGGGGGTTATTTTCAGTCCATCTTGCATAAGCCTCCCAGTGTGCCCTGGGGGGCCCGACCCACTCACGTGTCACGCTTTTGTGTCAGAACGTGAGCGGCGAGCGGCTCCGACGCGCCGCGGCGTGCTGGATTTACCGTCTGACCTGCTGCCGCTTGCGTGGCGGTTAGATAAAAGCCCCATCTCCAAACAGCCCAGGAATCGAGGTTAGATCTTATCCCCCGGGGCTCCTGTCGATGCGGCGGCCCGGCTGAGTGGCCGGGGCTGGGGGGGGGATGTTTTCCCTGGATGTGGGTCGAGACATATGTAAGGCGCCCGCACGCTAATCCCAACGGGCGCTAACGCCACACGTGCTCACCTGTGGGTCTTGTGCAAGAGATTAGCCCAGGGAGCCCCACTTCCTGCAGGCCGCTGGACCGGCCGCTGATCGGCCCGATAGCAGCCGGGGGATTTATGGTGGGTTGGGGGGGGGGGGGCATGTGGGGAAGTACATAAAGAGTCTGCAGCCTCCGTCTGGTCTGTTGGTGTGAAGCAGGGTCCCGGGAGGCTGAGCGGGAGCAAAGCGTAGCGCAGCGCAGCTCGCCGACATGTCGGGGATGGAGGAGCCGCAGGAGCAGCCGGTGAGTCACTCAGCAGGACCGCAGGCAGGTTCTCACAGATGTTCTGACAGATGTTCTTCTGGCAGATGTTCTGCTAGCAAACGTTTTGCTGACAGATGTTCTATTGGCAGATGTTCTGCTAGCAAACGTTTTGCTGGCAGATATTCTGCTGGCAGATGTTTTGACAGGTGTTCTGCTAGC